TTGGTGCGAACGTTTTTGAGGTGAAGTTTGACGTCGTTTATCAACTCCATGTCCATGTGCATGATGTTTTTCAACAATCTCAACAGAATGTTTTCTCAACTGGACTGCATTTTTGTTTCTGGAAGTTGCGATTAATTGTGCGTAGCACCATTTCCTTTTGGGGTTAGAGTAGCGGAATTGTATGAAGCGCCAAACGCAAAAAAAAAGAACCTGAAATTTAAACTAGACGACGGGTGGCCCGAGAGCGTAGAGGAGCAGAGTCTTCTGTTGTTAGTATGGAGACACTATATTACAAGATAATATGATAAAGATGTATTATAGGCAGACGAGAAGAGTAGTATCAAGACAATATATGACTAGTACAAGACAATAGTTTGCATCGTATTTTTGTAAAGTTTTTCATACACAGAACTTTTTACAGACAGACGCTTTTGCACACAGAGACTTTTACACACAGACGCTTTTACACACAGACGATTTTGCATACAGAGACTTTTACACCCAAACACTTTTACACACAGAGACTTTTACATACACAGACGCTTTTACACACAGAAGCTTTTACACACAGACGCTTTTACACACAGACGCTTTTACACACAGACGCTTTTACACACAGACGCTTTTACACACAGACGCTTTTTACACACAGGCACTTTTACACACAGACGCTTTTACACACAGAGACTTTTACACACAAACGCTTTTACACACAAGCGCTTTTACACACAGACGCCTTTACACACAGACGCTTTTACACACAGACGCTTTGACACACAGACCCGTTTACACACAGAGGCGTTTACACACAGAAGCTTTTACACACAGACGCTTTTACACACAGACGCTTTTACACACAGACGCTTTTACACACAGACGCTTTTACACACAGAGGCTTTTACACACACAAGCTTTTGCACACAGACGCTTTTGCACACAGACGCTTTTACACACAAACACTTTTACACACAAACACTTTTACACACAAACACTTTTACACACAGACGCTTTTACACACAGACGCTTTTACACACAGATGCTTTTACGCACAGACGCTTTGACACACAGATGCTTTTACACACAGACGCTTTGACACACAGACGCTTTTACACACAGAGGCTTTTACACACAGAAGCTTTTACACACAGACGCTTTGACACACAGACGCTTTTACACACAGACGCTTTTACACACAGAAGCTTTTACACACAGACGCTTTTACACACAGACGCTTTTACACACAGACGCTTTTACACACAAACGCTTTTACATACAGAGGCTTTTACACACACACGCTTTTGCACACAGACGCTTTGACACACAGACGCTTTTGCACACAGGCGCTTTTACACACAGACGCTTTTACACACAGACGCTTTTACACACAGATGCTTTTACACACAGACGCTTTGACACACAAACACTTTTACACACAGAGACTTTTACACACAGACGCTTTTACACACTGACGCTTTTACACACAGACGCTTTTACACACAGATGTTTTTAGACACAGACGCTTTTCCACACAGACGCTTTTACACACAAACGCTTTTACAGACAGATGCTTTTACACACAGACGCTTTTACACACAGACGCTTTTACACACAGACGCTTTACACACAGAGACTTTTACACGCAGACCCTTTTACACACAGGAGCCTTTACACACAGAAGCTTTTACACCCAGACGCTTTTACACACAGAAGCTTTTACACACAG